CTAGACATGTAGACAATTCCAAAGGAGGAGTAGGAGTAGGAGAGTTGCTGAATAACTTGATTGAACTGAGTTATCATTTGAAGTAAATACTATAAAGCTTTGAAAGAAGCCTACTGATTTTTTTTTCTCTAACATGTTCTGGATATTTTATTTTCTATATATGGTAATACAAAAATTTAATTAACTTATCAAACGTGAAATATTTTACCATTTATAGCTCATTTATTCACCAACATTGAGATAGAAATTTGTTTTTGTAAAATTTTCAGCTTTCTGATGTTTTTCTCAATAAAGTATTGTTCAAATGCTCCATTAGCTATGGAGAAATTAAAAAAAATTCCACAAACTTGGATTATCAAAAAACAAGGAAATAATCTTCTATAGCTTGTTTTCATCCAGCATAACATTTTTATTTCTTTAATATACTATACAATCCCACCCCTGACATGTAAACAATGACTACAATATCTGTCAATAAATGACAAATTAAAGTTTCTTGGCTACAGTGATAATAAAAAAGTAAAAGATTTCCTATCTAGTTGTGTCTGACTCTAAGGCATGATAGGGCAGTATAAAAGCATAAATGTCGTGGTTTCAGTAACATTTGTATTTCATAGTATCACATATATGAGGACTTTGCTAAATCTCACATTAAGTACTAGGGAAGGTAAAACATCAATCCTGGTTCTAAAAAAAGTGCATGCTGAGTAGAAGGACTAAGGTAATTAAGTATTTGCCTATTTTCCATCAAAACAAGTCATCTCTGGACAAGATGAGTGGCACATCATTAATAAATGTGTTTGCAAGATATAAGGTTGGCATATGACTGACTTCATTCTGATTTCTAAATGTACGAAATTTTCTCTAATGATCAGTTGCTCAGGTGGCAAACCATAAAAGATAAATTTCCCCAGAATTACTTCTTACTCAGTTTGAAAATTGAAATTGGGTTGTTAGGATTTGGAGTAAGTGGTATTTGAGCCAATAAATATTAACAGCCATTGTTGTAGGCTCCCTTTTTGAGGATGTAAATCAAATTAGAAAGCTTCTGAAGTAGTGCATCTGGAATTGAATTGTTTGCCAAATATTCAAAGCAAAATCACTGTCAGATCACTGCACCCTATAATATTTTGGATATATGATGAATAAAAGGATGAATAGGCAATTGTTTTTCTGCTTCAAAGTTTACAAAAGTATGGCTTGAGATGAACACTTAGAAAGGAGATTAGTTCACACTTCTGTTACATACCTACCAATTTCCAAAACTCATTTTTCAATTATCCCATCCCATCCTAGTCTCTTATTTTGAATGGAAAATAATGTTGCTGAAAGGTTCTTCCCACCTAGTGCTTTCCAGATGTGTTGGACTAGAATCCATCACCTTTCAACTTGAGAAAGAGCTATTTTATGGGATTTTCTAAGAAGAAACAGCTGTTTTAAATATTTGCTTTATTATTCTGACATGTTCTGAGGAAAAACTATTTCTCAAGGGAAATTGCTAATCTGTAAAGTTTTATGATTTAAGATTTTTTTTAAGTATCTGTGGGTCAAGGCTCAAGTGTTTAAAAGAAGGAAGAATTATAACTACATCATATAGTCCTTTAAATGCTGCCAAATTCAAGATTCTATAAATTAAGTAACTGTGCAATCTATGCAAACAGCACTTGAGAAGATATTTTTAAAAACCATTTTGTCATATGTCCTCATTGGTCAATTGATTTTGGATAAAAATGCATAACTAAACTAATCATTATGTACAGAATTTAAATTCTCTTTTGCATATTATGATGCAGTTCTTATGTGTTCATCAGGTGTATAATAAAACATTTATTATTTCCATATTTAGAATCAGGGCAATTTTTTTCTGATGATATCTGCTATCTAATTGCTTAATCAGAAAGGTTATATAGAATAGTTTTAACAGTGGGGTTTTTTCTAATTAACATCATAATGCAAAGCTGCACCACAGCCTATTTTATTAGTGAAAACCAAATGGACTTAATTTTACCCAATGTCAATCATATCTTACAATAAAGTTATAAGAAACTTTGATGAATATGACTTTGTATTTTTTGAATGTCAGGTTAACTGAATTAAATATATTTTTAATATGCATATTTTAATTTTTTTAAAAAGTATTGTTTAGCTATAGTAAATCATAATATATATAGCATTTCAAAATTGACTAACAAGGTTGAGAATTTATCATATACTTTATATAAAAGTAGAGGCATTTTTTAAATGTCAGACTATTAATTCATCTAATTTAGAAATGATTAGTAGCAGTTCTCCAAAAATCTGATTGAGTCTTTTCTAACTTAGCTTCCATTTCTAATAGTTGATTTTGGGATCTTTTAAAGGTAAAAATATTAGCCGTAGTACGGAGGCAAAGCCCTTTCTATATGCTATTGCTGGCCTGTGTAGTCTAATGGACAGTAAACCGCGCATGCCTAGTCATCACATGTTAATATGCAGAATGTGTACTTGACAATTTAGGATATATTCAGTATTATTAAGTTTGAAATGGCCACTTCAGAGTAAAGCAATTGCTTGGTTTTAATTTTACTATATATTCTGTTTATAGAATGCATGTGTGTGTATCTGTGGTAGCAATAACTTTGTAATATATTAATTTTGCAATGTACTATATACAGAGGATTGGAAGAGACCCGATAGGAGTCAGAAATTTCCACTTACTGTCTGCCAAGCCAGGGTGTTTTATACAATATTTCAAGTACATGAGTGCCTTTTTATAAGGAGAAAATAAATACACATATACACAGAATAAATTACCTATGATTTGTACAATTTGTATAAAGTTCAATATAAATAATCTTTATAAAATGCACAAACATAAATAGGGTGATGTAGGATTATAAAAGGAAAATTAGGCTGTCAAGAATTATATGAAAATAGTAGACACTGTAGAGAAAGCTAATGGGATATGTGATTGGTTAGAAGATGTGAACCATTTCGCAGAGAAGTCATAAACATTACAAAGTGTTGTATAGTTTAAAACTCCTTCTGTCTGAAGCCTTTTGTTTTCCCCCACTTACTAAATATTGTAAAATGGTGCAATCTTTTTCTAAATCTTTTCTACTCTGAATCCATTCCTAGCTGGTTTGGCATATTTAATCATCACAAAGCATATGTAATAGCTTTCTTCTAAGACTGCAGTCTTGTACTGAATAAATAACACTGGATTCTTAGGAGCAGACATATTAAAAAGTTAGTGCTGTGTTATATGTTGTATTTTCCTTAATTGATATTAAATGAAGAAAACTATACACATTAACCTAACAATGGACAGCTTGGTACAAATCTATTTCAGTTAAAAAATATCAGAAATCAAAAAGAGATTATGATGAGCTACGGGAATGAAATACTCCATATCATACAATCTCTAGAAATACATAATTCTATTGTATTTCAAAAGGCCATGAAAATGTCATTATCTAGAGGAGAAATATTCTATTAAGTGCACCCTTTAAAAAAAAAAAAAGAACAACAAAGTTACAAACATAGAAAAAAATTCTAGTGAAGTAGGAGTACCAACAAGAAAAATGTCAGCTCTGAAGAACAAAGGTTTAGTGGGCCAACTGGTTTAGAGTTATTTGCTACTTAAATGGACTTTCCTAGTTAGCTTTTGATTCCTGGGTATAGCAGCAGAAAAGTTACAAGCCGCTATTATGTTCAGTTAACACAAAAAAAGTGTTTTCCATGCTTTTAAACGAATGTGTAAGTGAGAATCTACCCCTTCATTTGAAGAATCTGATTTTCTGGGAAGTAAAGTAGATCATTTGTAAAATGATTGAATTTCCCTTATAATCATTATTGGAATGCTGTTTCTATTCATATACAGCTTTTTGGAATCACTTGAGAATATATTGGGTAGCACAAAGCTGTACTGAGAATGGACTAAAAACTCTTGTGAATATTTTAACTAAAGATGAACCAGGTTTGGGTCAATTATTTGTGGGCCACAAGGTGGGGGAAGAGGGCTCATTTTGCAATAACAGAAGGAATTGTATAGAACTATTGCATTAGAGCAAGGATGTACTATGATACATATCTTTACCAAGACCAGTGATTAGAATATTAACACATGAAATACCTTAACTATAGAAGTCAGTATGAAGCATGAAGTACATCTAATGCATCAGTTTGTGATTAGTGATGTTAACTTCATATGCATAGACTGTGATAGCACATGCATGCAGGAACAAAGAATTGTTCGTGAACTGGATTTGTATAAAGTTCTTTCTGTTCAATAATCAGTTCACTAAAACCTAAATTGCATTTTAAATTTAGGAAGTAAATGGAGGATAAATGCCAAATAATAAGGTTTCAACTGGTCATTGACTTATGTAAAAGTCTATTTGAAATATATATAATAGATATTAAATGCAAAATAATATGCAATGTGTTTTCTATTAGATTTTATAAGCAATTGTTTATAACTTTTAAAACAGTTCTGGTTTGTACCCTCTAATTGAATTCTGTTACAGAATTTCAATTTCTAATCAATATCTCTTTAAAACAATCTTTTGGAAATGTAGAAAGGGGATTTTTTTCTTTTTAAAATACTTGCTATAACAAACAATAAATCACAACATTTGCTTAGGGAATTACATTTTATTCCACCCCTCTTATAATGATACGCCCTGCAACTAAATTTTGGACAGTATAAGAAATAAAATTATATGGCATAATACATAAAACATAAAATAGTAACCTTCAAAAGCATCAGTTTGGTTAATCATCAGTTGCCAAAAGAATCTAATCTATCTCTGCTACGAAAAATTTTTTTTGTACCTGTGGGCGGCGGGGAGATATATATCCTGATAGTTACATTTTTTTTTTTGAAAATTATGAGTTCATCCATTTCAGAATGGATGTCAGATGTTATAATGCTTTATGATAGAAATCAAGATGCTGACTTGTTTAATGATCAGCTATTGATATTTCTTTCTTTCCTTTTTCTTTCCTTCATATTTCAGAATGAAGAATAAATTTTTGTATTTTGAATTCAGCACTTCTGAAACTTTCTCTGCCACCTGCAAGAAGTTGCATGAATCTCTGGAAATAGAAGTAAGAAAGTGATTGCTGTGAATTGATCTGGCTAACATAGAACTATATATTAATCAAAACCAATATGATAGATCTATTCTAATTGGAGAAAATAATTACAAATTAAAAATAAAAATAGGAATGAATGCCATTCAACTAGGCAGTGAAATGCATTTAGTTTTATTGTCTGTCCCACTAAATTCAATTCTCTTTGTTGAGTCCTCAGTATTGGAATAAGATTCATTTTAATTCTTTCTGTCATATTGTTAAAAACAGATTCATTTTATTTATCTTTTTATTGATCCTATTTGTCTACTTTTATTTATTGACTTTAAATATTTTACATTGTAAAATGCAGTCCAATCTCAGACCATGTACATAAATTAAAAAATAGATATAAATACAAAAAAATAAAACACATAACATAATTACCATATAAAATAATATAATTATGCCCATGGTTATTATGGAGATCTCAAATGTTATGTTAAATACCAACTAATGATTAACAAAGTTGGTATCTGTTTTATGTCTTGGGTGAATCTCTCTAAAGAATAGCTGGTTGATATCAAGTGAATGTCCACAGGATGTGAGACAAATAGACACATGGATCTCTATGGAGAAGGCAGTCTTATAGATATGATCACAACTGTTCAAGATTTTACAGGTGTCAAAACCCAGGATAATATCTGTAATTACTCAGTTTCTTTTAAAAATATCAAAAGTATAAAAGGATATTTACTAGGGGTACTATTCAACTATATTACACACATAGTTACATCTTGATATAAATATTTAATGAGATTGAATATTCAAGAGATTCTTTACATAATTCTACCATTAGATTTTGATAACATTTTTATGAATTTTGATGAGAGGATTAACAATTTTTAGATTCTTGTTATTACTATATGCATAAGGATAAACTGGCTCTTTGCACTGACAAAAATCACTTAATAAAGATGCATATTTTACCTCCAAATGCATTCTTTAATTTTAAATCAGGAAGATATATAAATGAATAGAGCCTCAAAAGTTATAAAATTCAGACAGAATTTTAGAAATAACACAGACTGTAGAAAGGAGTGAGTTTTTGTACACATGGGGTAATAAATAATATTGTAATTTTATTTGTAACTGAATTTATTTCAAAGGAAATTGAAAGTTTCTTCTTTCTACTTTTTATTCTTTCTTTTAGCTTGTTTTCATTTTTATAAAACTATAAAAAATATAATCAAGGCCAATCACCTTCATTTCAACTATTTTTCATAAACACAGACATATCTGCTAAAGACATAATATTCTTGCTGATTTCTAGAGCTGCTTATTTAAAATAACATTTTTCATCCTAATAACTTCTAGAAACTTTAATAATAAAAGTCCCCAAATTCCTACCCAGGAATTTCAAAGGTAGTAAAGTTTAAGTCAAATTTCCTACTTTTTCTTTGGGCTGTTTAATATGCTTATTATTATGTGATTAAAATATATTTTATGATAGCTCATTGTTAGAAAAGTAAGAAAACTATGTTAATGTAAAGCTTCTCTGTAGAGGCCATAGATCAATGTTAAGATACAATGCAAAGGTAGGCTGAATAAAAACTAACAAAGTAATACGAAATCCAACTAAGATATCCAATGAATAAACAAACAAAGAAAGAAACAAATCAATAACTAAAACTACTCTTTAAGGGGATACATTGCAGTCTGAATATTTACCAAAATACATTAAAATAAATAATATCATTAAAACATCCACAGTCATCAATAGAAATAAAATGGAAAACCCCTAAAACATATAAAAATAAATGAAATTTCTGATATCTTTAAAACAAATTCTTTTTCATATACTTCTAGAAGTTAGCTAAAGTAGGGACTAACCTCATTTCTAGTAGCTGTGCATTTCAGAAGTTCAGCACTGTCACTAAAATTGAGTTGAAAATTCAATCTATACATAGTTATATCAATAATTATCTATGTGTATATATACACACATTCACATTAAACAAAAAAATGACATTTAGGTTTTTTGTTATAATAAAACTCATTTTAATGGCAAACTCCATGTCAATACAAGAATACTGACTCTACTGTACCATAATTCATTGACTATGAAGAATTGAAGCTACATATGTTAAATATATATTAAGAGGTGGTGCAGTCATGAGAGGCAACTTCTATTAGAATTGGGATTAATAAGGAGAGCTGTTTTTGCATTTTCTAAAATGGCTGGATTTAAGTAATTTAAATAGTGAGATATTCTTGTACAACTTGAAATATGAATGTTTGAATTTGAGAGGGAGGGGGAGGAGATATAATTTATATTCCAATTTAGGAAGCCTGACCTATGCATCTAGCCTGATGTTCATCATTTTCTACAGACATTTTTGTTTACAGTGAAAAAGATGGACATATGGAGGGACAAACAAGTATACGATATCACATTTATATCATTTACCAACACTTTGCAAAATAATTGCTATACTTTATATAAAAAATAAACTAAGTAAATATGTAATTTACTTATGAAATGTTAGCAAAATGAAGATTTGTACAGAAATTCTTCCATAACTGAACAAAAGAAATTCTTCTTTACTAATTCTGAAAGTAACTCATCACAGCATGATTCTGAGGCCTAGTGAAATAATTGTCTTAGTGTACTGCCTGCTGTGTTTGATATTGAGTGAAAACGCTCCCTGCACTTCTTATATCACAATTCTCCTTTTATTTAAATAATTTTAGTCAGATGGATGGGGGGGCCACAAGACCTTTATAAATTAACAGCAGGGAAATACCAAAGGTGTCAGATTGCATATTTATCATCTTTTTCGTGTAATACTTAAATATGTATTAAGAAGTGACTGACATAAATTAGGCAGATTTCTGAAGCCACAGGCTGTGGCTTGTAGAGGACCCCCTTCGGCTTGACATTTCATCCTTGTCAAAGATCAAATTATTTTAATTTAGGCTGCAAATTATAAGGAATGAAGACTTCTTTGTGGGAATTCCCTGTGGTAATCTGACTTTTGTTGTTACTGCTGCTTGTCAGTGTGCAAAAGATATAATATGCATGCAAATAAGGTTAAAAAATATGTACTATCTAATTATCCAGCCAGTACATTCCACTTGAAGACAGTGGGAGGGCTGACACACAGTATGTGTTTGATTCATTGAGGCCTGCAGGCTATTTACACAAGATTACTTTTAATTATGAAATTAATATCTGTTTATCAAGAATGTATAGCAGTAAGTGAGTATACACATGAGCAGAATTTTTAGTAAAAAGAAATCCTCTTAATACTTAACTCCTATATGACATGTAAAAGTTTGATTCTAATAAAAAAACCTGTTACTAAGCACACACACACATATGCACATATGCCTTCACTATACAACTTTACAGACTTTGTTATCAATACTGCTACCATGTAATTCCTGTCTTTATTACTGCAATTATTAGGAATAAATAATAAATATTGTATTTAGATTTAAACTTTGTGTGCAAATTTAAACTTTGATTATCAAAAGCATATTAAAATGGTTAACTTAAAATGATTACTATGATATTGAAATAGTAGAATTATTAAAGATTAAAGAAACTAGCAGCCTTACAGAGGCTGTAGAATATCAGTCCTATCATCCCTAATTGGCAAGACTAATAGCATTATGAGGATCAAGCTTACTTATCAGTACTGAAAAAAAATCTAGCCTCTTGGAATCATTTTCCCATGCTGTAGGAGGTAAAGTCAAGCAGCATCTGGAAAGCACCTAACTAGTCTATATTACCTCCAAGATATTAATATTCTAAATGCCAGATATTAATGCTTACTAAAAGACTATTCCAGATTCATCTATTATCTGTAATAAGTTTATATTTTGTTCCTGAACTTCATGTATATCATATGGATATTTATGTAGCTGGACAAGAATCATAATATATTAATGTCTATTTTTATGGCCTGTCCTTATTTTACATCCCCATATTGTACATGAGATAAGTAGCCATATAAATAGAATGAATGAATGAATGAATGAATGAATGAATGAATGACATCCTAGATCAATAATACCCCAAACAAGTAGAAAAGAAATAAGCTTTAAATAAGTTCAAATAAGCCTTCCCATAGCTGGTAGGAATTAAGGTCTGAACTATGAAACTCACTAAATTGCAGAAAGGTAGTGTAGGAGATTAAAATGATTGTGACCACAAAGGTACTGTTTAAGGTGCTTCCATGTTGAAAGGATTAGCCAATAACATCTGTTGTCCAAGGGACACCATAGGGGCTCCTTTTATGTCCCTATCAAGGAACTGGAGCAAATTACAGGAGCTCACCTCATCATACAGCAGCACTTGGGTCTCAAACATGAGTTTCCTAAAATCCAACCTAGTGTCCTAACCACATGAGCCAGTGCACTCCAGAGGATCAAGATGGGTCCATTAAAAAAAAATAACCTAGCCTCATGCCATGTAGGGCTTTGAAGATCACAACCAAAAACTTGAATTGGACCTGGAAGTAGAGCAGCACCCAATGTAGCTTCCACGAAAAAGGAATTATATGCGCCATTCTTTGGACACCCAAAATGCCCAGGCAGCTGAATTTTGTACCAGCTGAAGTTCATATAAAGAGCATTGTCTCTACATGGCAATGTAGAATCCAAACAGGAGATGACTAGGTCATGAGTGACCAAGTAGAGAGCCTCCCTATCCAGGATTCACTCCAGGATTCTGGAATCTCTGCTGTTTTGTCAAATAATCAGATATAGAAAATTAATACAGGAAATATGTTTTAGTAAAATGATGTAAATAAGAAAGATGCTGATATCCTTTAATCTCTCATTGATTTCTTCCTATCTTATCTTGATTCTCTCCGTCTCTGTCTCTTTTTCTTTGGCAGTGTGATGGAATTCAGATAGATCTGAATAATATTTCTCTGGAAGGAATTGCTATTTTGAACATTCCAAGCGTGCATGGAGGATCAAATCTTGGGGTGAGACCAAGAAAAGGTAAAGCCATCGTCAATTTGAAAAAAAAAGGCCAGATAAAAGGTTCACTGTTACAGATGCTAAGGAATTGAAGTTTGCATGCCAAGGTGAGTTTCCAATTTTAAATGAATAGTTGGTTCTTGGTTCAAACTTTCAGATTTTAAAATAACAGAAAATAATAGATCAAGCATTAAAAATAACAGAAGATTGTTTAACATATGAGGGATTTTCTGGTGGAGGGGATTTATAGAAAAGCTCTAACTAGGCAGGTGAAAAGTTTATGTCTATCAGCTTTTTAAACAGTATGCTTCCTGTCTGGGCTCAGATTTTGTGACTTCTTGACAGTTTCAAAAATGGATTTTTATTTCCAAATTAAATATACTTTCTTGGCTGATATAAAAATACATTTTTACTAGAAATGTGTGTACAATTTGTACAATGACAGGATTTGCTGCATTTTGCAAATGACAAGGTTTATTCTACACCTTGCCTTGAGAACTAACATACATACATACACACACACACACACACACACACACACACACGCATACATAAATACATATATTTGTTAATTTCTGAATAGTTTAATAAGTATCTTATCTGTTGCTTTTATTTCTTGGGTGAGACAATATTCACTAGCTTTGAAACCAGAATTGCTAGTTCATATAAGATTTTTTTGCACGCAAGTTTCTATTCCTCTTAATATTTTAGTTATCTTAATAGGCCTTGGAATTAATTTGCAAACAAGTTCTTTCCATCAATGCCAAAATGTCAGTAGAAGCTTAGCCTTGTTACTCAGTTTTTCTTTTAATCCTAATGTAACTTTGCCAGCCAAATAGATGTTTCACTTTATACACAACTATTTAAATCTCTTTTGTGACCTATCTATGCAGGGGACTTTGTAAAATGAAAAGTCTGGCATTGATTAACAGATATGAAAGAAAGTTCCCAGGCATTCTAACTAACTGCTACAGGAATTGAAATGTCAGCAGTACAATGTTAGCAAACAGTTCTGTTTCTGTAAAGGAAGTGTAAAAGCAGTTTTGACTAAGATTAACATGTCATGCAAAATTTTATTTTATTGTTGGATGGGCAGTCTGTGTTTGCACCACTGTAGATGTGGTAAGTGTTGAGTCCTTGGTGAAAAGCAGACACGAGAAGCAGTTGTAGTTCTCAGGTTTTCTTTTATTCTGTGTTCAGCTTACAGGTGAAGGCTTCAGCAACGCCCAAAAGCTCCCAGCTTCTTATATAGGCAATTCCCGGGTCAATGTGTTACTTTTCCCGCGCCAGCACCCACGCATGCGCACAGGCGCTGGCGACATCCTGTCTGGTCCCGGGCAGCTTGCACCTGCCCGGGACTGCCTGCAAACGCCCCGAGCCCGTTTGCAAGGCTCGGGACATAACACCCCTTTCCCCCGGGCTAAGACTATTACCAACATACAATTGTTTCTTGATGCAGTGTTCTATTCCCCAGTGCTCCTACTGTTTACTGGCTTTTGTAAATGTTACATAACAGCAATGTTATGTAATCCTCTACGTACTTAGGAGATTTCCTTGCTCTCTGTGACCTTCTCAGCTCTGGGTTTCTGACAGGTGTTCCCTGACTGAGGGGAGACGTGAGCCTGTTCTCCTTATCATGCCTTGGTGCCTTCCAAGGACTGTGCCCCAATGCCTGGCCTGCTTGCTTGCCCACCGGGCTCGTCAGGCCAGGGCTTCTGTCACTTTGTGACCTGGTTGACTCGCCTAGCTGTAGGCCCTCGGGCCCCTTGAAGTGATAGCCACTGCTGGGCGTCTCTGTAGAACCTCCTAGGTCCGTCCAAGACCTGTCAGGAGGCTGTCCATCCCCTAAGCCCCGTTCTGTGTCCGGGCTTGTGTGGGTTTCTGTGCCTTCCCAAAACTCAGTTGCTCCCTGATTTGGGCTAGAGGTGTTATGGTCGGGACTTGGTTCCTCGACCACCTCCCTGTATGTTTGACCCCCTGTAGGACTTGGGGTAAGGTCAGGCCAATTCTGGGGATTATGTGCCAGCTCTCTTGTGGGGTATGCTTTATTGGGACGCTCCCGGGTATCCTCCCTGACTGGAGTGCTGTGTGATGTAGATGGATAGTGATTGTGCCCCCGGGGTGACTCCCTGGCTGGAGTAGGCATGAATGCCTGATGATTGGGTAAGCCCCATGAATTCCTGTTTGGGGCACTCATGGAATCTTGGAATGGGCCGTTTGTGGCTCCATCATTGGAGGTGGGCAGCAACTCGTGCCCTTCCCTTTGCTCCAAAGGGTCCCCCTCCCCCCGGAAAAGACCCAGGAGTCTCAGCTGGAAGATCCTGCCTAGGGCGGAGTTGGTCGATGTGCCGGCGTAGGACACGACCGTTGTCCAGGGCTACCTTGTAGGATAGAGGACCTGTGACCCTGGAAATAGAAGCGGGGACCCATGTATGACCAGGCCCGTAATTGCGAGTCCAAACCGGGGCACCCACAAGTAGTTGTCTAGGTGCCCTAAGATGTGAGGTAGATGAAGGCAGTCTGTCCAGATGCAACCGGTCAAGCTTTGTAGTAAGTTTGCGCCCCCAGCGAAGTTCAGCTGGGCTTCTCCCTGTAGAAGTGGACGGTGTGGTGCAGTAAGAAAGGAGAAAGTCAGCCAACCTGTGATGCCAGTCCCCATAGGTGAGTCTTTTCAAGGCATCCTTTGTGATGCAGACCATGCGTTCAGCCATACCATTGGTGGACGGGTGGAAGGGTGCAGACGTGGCATGACGAATCATGTTAGCCTGTAAGAAAGCTTGTAATTCGGAGGAAGTAAATTGAGGGCCGTTGTCAGACACGATGACATCTGGGAGCCCGTGTGCAGCAAAAATCCCCCTCAGTACCTGAATAGTCTTTGCAGTGGTGGTGGATGAGACAAGTACAACCTCAAGCCATTTTGAATGACTGTCAACGAGGACCAAGAAGAACTGGCCCTGAAAGGGCCCAGCATAGTCAATGTGCACCCTAGACCATGGGGACTGTGTATCCTCCCATCTATGCACAGGAGCTTGGGGCATCTCTGGGCGAGAGCGCTGGCACAGGTGGCATGCATGCACCTTAGCCTCAATGTCCTTATCTAAACCAGGCCACCACAAGTGGCTGCGCGCAAGGGCCTTCATGCGAACAATGCCAGGATGACCCTCGTGGAGGGACTCTAAGATCCTAGTCCTCATTGAGGTGGGAATGACAACTCTGTTTCCCCAAAGCAGACAACCCTGAGAAGTGGACAACTCGTTCCTTTTGGACCAGAAACTCTGAAACTCAGGACTAGGGCAGTGCTCAGGCCATCCAGACAAAACCCAAGAAAGGACACGTGAAAGTGTGTGATCTGTGCCTGTTTCAGCGGCGACATCCCTGGCATTCAGAGGGGACTCGGGCAAGGCTTGGATGGATAGAATGTTGACAGCTGGCGCAGGGTCAGCTTCTACTACTGGCAGGGGCAATCTACTGAGGCCATCAGCATGGCCCATTTCTTTCCCAGGCTTGTGGAGTAAGGAAAAATCATATGCAGACAGAAAAATAGACCACCTAAGCATTCTAGGGGAAATGATTTGGGGAGTTTGTTTACGTGTGGTAAACAGTCCCAGCAGAGGCTTATGGTCAGTGAAGACCATGAAATGCCTGCCATACAAAAAATCATGGAATTTTTTAATTCCAGCAACAACAGCCAGAGCCTCCCTGTCTATCTGAGCGTAGTTGCGCTCAGCAGAAGACAGTGTTCTGGAGTAATAGGCAACAGGAACCTGAGTTCCATCAGACCTGAGGTGGCTCAGGTCGGCTCCTACCCCGTAAGGGGAAGCATCACAAGCGATGCACACAGGAAGGGACTCATTGAAGTGTGCAAGTACACTGTTAGAAGTGAGTAAGGCCTTGACCTCATTGAAACTAGCCTCATGTGTTTGTGACCACTGCCACACTGCTTGTTTGTCTAATAGCCTGTGAAGAGGCTCAGCTACACTAGCTTTATGTGGAAGAAAGGAATTGTAGAAATTCAGGAGGCCCAGAAAGGCCTGAAGTTCGGCCTTAGACTTTGGCCTAGGTGCTTCTAAAATGGCAGTTAGTTTGGATTCAGCAGGGTGAATCCCAGCAGCATCAATTTTGAACCCCAGAAATTCAGTAGAAGGCACCCCAATTTTGCATTTGTCTTTTTTGAGCTTGAGGCCTGTTTTCCTGAACCTTAACAGAACAGCCCTTAGCCTTTCAGCTAGAATGTGTGTGGAGTCTCCTGCAATTAAGACATCATCAAAGTAGGGGCAAACCCCCAATATGCCCCGTAGTGTGTTTTCCATTACGCTTTGGAAAATCCCAGGAGCGACATTCACTCCAAACTGTACCCTTTTTACCTTAAAGGCTCCCCTGTGGGTCACAATAGTCTGAGCATCATCATCAACAGGCAGCTGTTGATACGCTTGAGCTAGGTCAAGCTTTGCAAAAACGCGCCCCCCCTTGAGGGAGGCCAGAATATGACTGACCACAGGAACAGGATAGGCATGTTGCTGCAATGCCTTATTAAGAGTGCATTTGTAGTCAGCACAAATGCGAATGTCCCCATTTGCCTTTAGAGGCGTGACAATGGGGGTCTCCCAAGGGCTGGAATCAACAGGTTCTAGAATTCCCTGTTGGATCAGTTTGTCTAACTCAGTGTCAATTTTACTCTTTAAAGCAAAAGGGACCCTTCTTGCTTTAATTCTAATGGGAGTGACAGTGGGGTCTAGTTTTAAGGACACAGGGGGTCCCTTGAATGTGCCCAGCTGGGGGCTGAAGACATCTGCAAATTCTTTGCAGACTTCCTGTAGGTCGAGTGTTTGTAAGCTGTTGAGCCCCGTGACGTGTATCCCCAAGGCTTCAAACCAATCGAGTCCTATGAGACTCGTTCGTTCACCCCCTACTACTAATAGGTCTAGTGGACCTTCAAAATTCTTATACTGTACGTTAAGGGTGGCCTCCCCCTTAACACACACTCTCGAATTTTGAAAGTCTGTTAACACAATGTCAGAAGGCCTTAATTTAGCCTGAGTTCCACTGCCGGAACAAATCTTCCTAAATGTATGTAAGGGATTGAAAGGGCAGACCCCGTGTCTAGTTC